AAGACATCCCTTGGACACTCAAAATCATCACTCCAGAGTGATTTTTCCCATGGAATAATTTCCCTTCATTAGCCCGGCGAAATTAATGAATTGTTGGAAAATTATAGGAAATCGAATTCAGGAGTTTCAGGTACTCAAGAAGAAATAGAAAAATTCATGTGTCAGTTACTGCCACAATATTCCTAAAAAATAATCATTATAAAATCCTCCAGGGATGAAGGAGTGGTGCATTAATTAATCCATTAATTAATCCATTATTACGGCCCTTCTTTTTTCCTGAATTAAAAATATTTCTAACGGTTCGATGATTACGACTCTAGGCGGAAGTGTGAGATTTCGAAATTTCAAGTTCTTTTTTTGATAAATCAATCAATTAATTATTGATTGCACGAATTCGTGGGGATTGTTCTCTTCTTCTTGTTTCCTCGGGATCCAATCGATCTTTAAAAATATAATCTAATTAATCTGCGTAGAAGACACCTTGTGTCCTCCATTTTCGATGCAGCGACACCCAGGAATGCAGCTCTGCCCTCGGTTCATTCTTGTACGAGGATTACATTTTTAAACGCGATTTTGCAATTTGTATCGATTTTAATAACTGCGCCGTTCAATATCGAAGAAGATGAAAAAATAACGCGGAATCGATGAATAAATTATCGAAATTTATTAAAGACACACATCAAACAATTTTTTCAATAACTGACTCAAGTATATCTCTAAATCTAGCAAAATTAGCGAAATTCCTTAATGACCTTTTTTCTAGAGAACTTCGAGATCTATAAAAAGTTTTCTATAAAAATTTCTCTATCTTCTTTAGATTCCGAGATTCTCATGAAAATCAAAGGCAATTTCCGTTGCAATACCAGAAAAACTCATTTCTGCCCTAGATAAATTGCTGTCTAAATATTTCTGAAACTAGGGGAGATGGGGGAATCTCGTGAGGACTTTTTTTGTAGATCTGGTTTAGCTCCACAAAAAGTTCCCCAGGAAAATTCTGCTATCTTCTCTAGATCACGAATTGTGCCCCAAAAACGATCGCCAGGTGGGATGATCTCGAGGAAAATTGCATCATTAATTGTCAATCTTCTTTTAAATCTCATTGTTTCTATTTTTCTTTCGGATTTAATGGTAAATCCCAGGAAGTTGAACGTAAATGAACGGACTCCAGCGGATTTCCGTTTCAATTTAGTCCCGTATTTATGGTATCACAGCTTGGCAACTTTTATTTCCTCCACAGTGTCATTGAACGCCACCGATCGTCTGGGAACTCCATTTGAACTCACATCGCTGTCCATTCTGCAAGGCAATCATAAAACAATAATCCAAAATTCAACTATCCAAAATTCCCCCAGATCCTTAAGAATTCCACTCAATCTAGGGTTGAAAAATAATCTCAAAAGCGAAAAACAAAACCTTAAAAACGCGTAACAACTCGATTTATCCCCGACTGTAGTTTTTAAGGAATATCTTTGAATCGACCAGAGATACCGAAACAGCTCTCGGGACATCATCTCTAGTGCTGAAAAAGAGCTACAAAAAAGGTCATTATGAAAAATCCGCTATTTTTCGTAGATTCATAGATATTCCTCGAAAACATACCGATCAGCTGAATCTTGCTTGCCCTGATTTATCCGTCATTGCAACTGTGATAATTCAAGGACAAATTCAACTTGTGATTATTTTTAATGCGTGAAGATAACTGTCACTGATGGGGCGTGATGATATGCAAGGATTTTATAATTCCTGGCCTTCGGTTGAGAGAAAATCACGTGAGAATTTGAGTTAATGTGGAGCCATTGTTCATTTTCAAACGATTTTTCGCTCAAATCGTGAGTATTGACATTTAAAATGGAATAATTACTGGTAATTAGACAATTCTCTGGTCAATACCTTTCAACTTCTCTCATTTCTTCTCGGGATTCTGTTGTGATGATCTCTGGTGCAGCTCCACTGGCTCTCGATCGTCTGTCGAAGTAAATCAATTATTGATTATCAATTATTGATATTCTGAGGATGGACTGATGGACAAGTGCTCTGAATTATTATTACCTCCAGAGAACAATGGAGGCAATCAGACCAGCTGATGCGATCCCCAGGAGAACAGCTAGAGTGATTATGACTGGAATTGAGTCTGAACACTTGTTCTGTTCAGGAGACATCTGGGGAATTTCACTCGATTGTCTTCCAGGGAGCGTCAGCTGGATCACCGTACTCCCTGCACTTCCCACTTTCTTCACCTGTAGTTCCACGCAAATTGTCG